TCTATATCTGACGAAAAACAGTAATCGTGACACTGGTGGTAGGTGTAAGAGTGGGTTGCACTAACCAGATAGCGCTATATTAAGCGCATGTAAGTGATGAAATCCTCTGGATAAGGACATCTGGACCCAGGTTTTCTGATGAACATTCAATACATTTACCTTTTAATATTACTGCACTATGGGCACTCTTCATGGTCTCCTTTGGGGAGCTATTTGTTTATAGAGCCCTGCTGTGATCCAGTCATCCATCCACCGTATCCAGAGAGGGGGGCACCTGTAAGCAGGCACCTGTACCCATCCATCCCTTAAAGGGACCTCTGGCCAGCTGGATCTTCTTACTCTTCTGAGGGCTCATAACAACACCACCCTGAGGGAGGATTTACTCATGTTCCAGACCAGACCTATATCTGTTAAGGAGACCTTCATTGATTCATACACTGCGTACTTAAATTACGCATCTGTCTGTTCTTTCTAAGGAAAGCGTCGGATGCACCTCCAGGCGCAGTCTCCCTCTGGTGGTTTTTTGAGCTTACTATACTCATTTGGATACCTGGTTTTAAGAAGGTTTGATGACATCCCGGTTACTGGCTCCCTTTGGTGGTCTTCGATCAGAATTCGGTCATTCAGAAGCCTGGCTGACATGCTGTGATTCCTGTCGCTGCTCGTCAGAAAACCTGGGTCCAGATGTCCTTATCCAGAGGATTTCATCACTTACAAGGGTTACCGCTTGTGGTACTGAAACTTTACCCCGAGCTACACTTGGGAATACCGCAAGGGAGGTTAAGCCCCTCTAATTTTTGTTGTGCTAATTTAGGCAGCTGGAGTTTATCTAAAAATCGATGAATCAGCTCTGGGGTAGGTTGAGGAGTATTAGATCATCTTTAAGGTTATATAATTGAGAGTAGTAGGATCGAAACGTTGCCACCATTTTATTGGGATGATAAGTAAGTTTATTCGATAAAGGGTCCAAAATTGATGATAATTTAGATTTGGATTGTTTAGCAGCAAGATATCTCGCAAGTATCTTACCCGCTTTGTTCCCCTGCGTATAAAATGTAGCTTTAGCCTTTTTCAAATTTTGTCAATGACGCCATAATAAGAGGGTCCTAAGTTCAAGTCTAGTTTGGAGTTCCTGCAATACAGCGGGGGATAAGGATTATTTGTGGAGATGTTCTAATCTAGCTATCCTGTCAACCGTATCTGAAAAGGATTGATTCCTGTCACACCTCGCCTGCGAGGCCAATTTCAATAGTAAACTTCTACAATATGCTTTGTAGGCACACCACGTGCTAAATACATTTGTATCAGAAGAGGAGTTGATATCAAAATATTCCTGTAAAGCTGTAGTAAGAGTAGAACGAAAAGCAGGATTATAAAACATAGAGATATCATTACGCCATAAAAATACTGGGGACAATTTTAAGGTCTTTTCAATAGTCAAGGAGATAGATGCGTGATCCGATCACGTCATTGGATGAATTGGGAGACATTTTGCAATAATTGAATATCCGTTAGAAAAAAGTCAATTCTTGAATAAGATTTGTGAGGTGCTGAGTAATACGTAAAATCTCTTTCAGATGCATGTAGACATTCAGGGATCATACAGATTGGCTTCAGATAAGACATGAACTAGAGAATGTCTCAAACTGCGAGAAGGGTGTGAAACATCTAGTGAATTATTTATAATAGCGTTAAAATCTCCACAATATAGTATGAAACCCTCCTGAAGTTTTGCTACTTTTTTCCTTAAAGAATTTAGAAAGTTAACCTGGTGGATATTGGAAGAGTAGAGATTCACAATGGTATATACGATATTATTAATTTCACAAACAATAATTAGAAATCTGCCTTTACTGTCAGTCACTTGAGATAGCAATGAGAAAGCAACAGAATTTCAGACAGCAATAAGAACACCACATTTCTTATCAGGACCATTAGTCATGAAAATATGTGGGAACAAGCGATGTGAGCAGTGTGGTGTTTTAATGGAGGAAAAATGTGTTTCCTGAACACAAATCACATCACCACGTAACCGTTGAGCCTCTTTCCACATTGATTGTCATTTAATCGGAATGTTAAGACCATGGGCATTCATAGAGACTAACTTCAGGACCATGGTGGATTTAGTAAATATGAGGTGAGGTTGCCCTCAAGTGGTATAAGTAGGAAATGTATATCAGAGGAAATAATCGAAATGGGTAGGCTTACAGTATCCATGGAGTTCCAGCGAGGATAGAAGGGCTCCGACCCCCTAAGTCAAACGGAAAGTATCATACTGAGTTCCAGTGGAATACTGGTATTGACGCTCTGTAAGAAAAAAACTGAAAAAAAGGAGAAAAAACATTTGGAGAAAAACAAGATTAACAGTTAACATATAGGTGAATGCCAAGAACCGCAGCTTGAATAACTGCTGTCCAAGTGCACAGCGGGTTGAGCAAAAAAAGAACTAGGAAGTGTAGGAGTATATTTAGTAATTCACATCATCCTGCGACTTGTACCCATTCAGAGGTTATTTTTCTGGGCGAAGCTTTATTAGGTGTAAGTTCTTCATCTGTTGGCAGAAGGCCCCAGTTTTTAGCTAATTGGAATCCTTCCTCTTCAGAATTGACCGTAATCACACGGTTGTCCTTGGTAATAAGCAATTTGGTAGGAAAGCCCCACTGATATTTGATAATATTGTTATGCAGCAATTTCGTGAAGGAAAGCAATTTTTTTGCGGGCCAATATGTAAATAAGTCGGTAAATAAGGAGATCCCAGTGTAGGGTACGGGTTCTTCTGAGCGAATAACTTTAATTCCTCCTTAACATGGTAAAAATGAATTCTCGCTATTATGTCTCTAGGGATATGGTCGGGAAGGAAAGAGGGCTTTGGCAGTCTCTGGGCCCTATCCACTACTACTTCGCTATTTGGAGTATGTGGCAGCAGTGTAGAAATCATTTGCTGGATATAGTTGCGAAGATCTGCAGCAGGAACATTTTCTCCGACTCCCCTGAATTTTACATTATTTCTGGGGGAGTGGTCCTCCAGATCCGCCATTTTCACTTTTAGAGCTTTCAGATCCTCCTCTGCCTCGTTGTGTGCATTGACTCATTCGTTATGAGCGGTAGCGAATTCGCCCATTTTAGTTTCCACCTAAATTTTCAACTTCTTTGTTAACTTGCATCACAAAACTCAACATATCTTTATGCAGGGAACCCTTGAGGGTAACTAACATATCCTTCATAACTGTGGCAGTAAGTGGTAAGGACTCTGCAGGGTAATCCTCCAGATGTTCTATGAAATCTCTTATAGTGTTATGTGTAAAAGAATCAGTAGATTGCTCACCCATTGGATGCACATCTGGAGAACAGCACTGTTTGTTCTTCTGAGGACTGCTTGTAGGTGAGGATAATGCAGAGCCTGCAGTCGCTGCTGGGCTGGGGGTGTGCAGGGGAGAGCTGTGCCTGTTTCCCTCCACATCTCCTTGCAGGGCCGAAGAGGAGCAGGGACCAGCGCCATCTTAGGAGAAGGGGGCACCCGCCGAAGTAAAGAACTCCGTAAGTTTGCGGGGCCCCTCCTTTATTTTCCTCTTCCCAATCCTGCCATTGCCATGCCCCACACAACTAGGGGGTAAACTGTAGTGTCGGTTTTCCCACTGCCTCCCGTCACTTTAGTATGCTGCGGTTCTCGGTAGCTCTCCGAGCTATGCTATTGAGCGGCCACCCCCCCCCCCCGGCGTTTCAATTTCAACTTTTCTTACAATACACTACAAGCCAGGGAGACTGTGGAGATGCTATGGGGTGTAGAAGCCACCTGCCCAGGAACCAGATCATTTACACCAACATGATATCTTAAGATAACAATACCAGTGGAGTGTACATGCGGCTCCAACGCTGTCTTTCCACTTTCCACAACTATCTTTTTTGACAAAGGTCAAGATAGATGTCAGAGTAAATGTGATGCAGAAAAAGGACAAGAAGGTTCTCTTACCAGCTGTACTACCCATCTATTGCACAGGGAATAATTTAAAACTAAACTCTAGGCAGACATAATGCAAGTAGTTAAAGCAGATATGACCAAGAATCAACCTATTGCTGGATTAGATTGTGAGAAGAAGCAGCCAATCAGTGCATGTACTGAGAAGAAGAATGGAGGTGGGAGGAAGGATATGAAATTGGAAGGGATTTAGTGAGCGATAGTAATGAGATTGGTAGTGATCTTGTACTTATCCTTACATGATATCCATCAGGATTTGGTTATTTGTTCCATAGGTTAGAGATTTTGGTCAGTGTCATATAGTGAATATATCTTCTCTTTAGTGGTGGTGGGTTGGCTGGCTGCAGTCTCCATCTCCTCTTTGTTTTGTGTCCAGTGCCTCCAATGCTGTTCCCTGCATTTTTGTGGAAGTCTTGGTCTGTGTATCACTTCGGGTGATGCGGTCTTGTGGAGATTGTGGTGTTCATGCATGCCCAGCACATCAAAACTGTGTGGTAAGCTGTATATATGTATGTATTCTATGTCATGCAAAAATTTCTGTTTATGTATTCTGTGAGACTACCATGTATTATAGTGATTTTTGTTTTAATTTTGTAGATGCTCCTGTTAGGTCCCTGAGGAAGCAGTTTTTATGCTGCAAAACCCGTTGGCCTAAACCATCAGGAATGCACAAGCGTCCATGTAAGGGTTGCAAAATCCTTCTATGTTATTAATGGTATTTTGTTCAATCTGTGGAAGCATCTATGGTCATTTAGACTAGAACTTTTTATATTTATGTTTGTTGTAATAAAAAATATATATATTATGGACATTGATTGTGTTACTGCCTGCAGTATAAAGCCTTTAAAGTCCCCGTGTTTTTATTAGGAGTGTTTCATCCCAATTGTGGTTTGACATTCATACATAATTATTTTTGATGTAAAAAGTTTCTTGATGATCTATGTACCAGACAATGAAAAAATACAAACAAATGATAACGTTATAAGAACCAAAATATTTCTTCATCTCAGTTTGAGTGATTGATATGTACACCCAAAACCAAAGCACTGTCACGGAGTTCATTCTTCTTGGCCTCTCATCGGATCCTTTCATACAAATCCTGCTGTTCCATATTTTCCTGGTAGCTTACATACATCACATACTGACTGGGAATTTCCTTCTCATTCTGGCTGTGAAGACTGACAAACGTTTGCACACCTCCATGTACATCTTCCTGTCTAGTCTCTCTTTATTGGACATCTGGTACACTTCCGCCATTGTGCCCAAAATGTTAGTAAATTTTCTTTCAACTAAAAAGAGTATTTCATTCACTGGCTGTGCTTTCCAGTTCTGTGTTTCCCTGACCTTGGGAGAAACTGAGTGTCTGCTTCTGGCATTCATGGCCTATGACCGATATGTGGCTATCTGCATCCCTCTGCATTACAATATGATCATGAACACAACGGTCTCTTTTCGTATTGTCAGCATATCATGGGTGACTGGTGGTGTCCTTTCATCTATTGGCACATATATTACATTCAGCTTAGTCTTCTGCGGCCCTAACACCATCAACCACTTTTTCTGTGAGCTCCCTCTGTTGCTTCGGCTCTCTTGCAGTGACATCTCAGTAATGACATCATAAAACTGATTTTCTTGCCCTTAATGCTTTTCATCCCACTTTCACTAATCCTCTTTTCATATATCCGAATCATAATTGCTGTCATGACAATTCGTTTGGGAAAAAGGAAAGCATTTTCCACATGTATTCCCCATCTTGTGGTGGTGTTCATGTTCTATGGATCGGGCATATTTATGTATGTTAGACCTGAACATTTGGTTACAGGAGACACAGACAAAAGGGTGGCAGTGTTTTACGCGTTGATCACCCCGATGCTGAAACCCCTTGATCTATAGCCTGAGGAACAAAGATGTTCAGAAAGCCATAAGGCAGCTGATAAGAGCTAAGAAGGATTGCAGTTGATTAGGTAAAATTGGTGCAATGTTCCTAGCTCAAGTTCTCCCATGTTTTTGTTCTTGATCAATATTTTTATTAAATTTCCATTTTTCAGAGGTAACATAGATGTAACCATGGCATATTTCAGCAGGAATGTGGGGGAACGCAGTTCCAAAAACCTTCCACAATTAATGTATGTAAAGGTTGGGGTACTGCTGGGGAGTGCTGGAGGGTCTACTGATGCTGGCTGCTAAGGAATCTGTTGTCACTTAGGGGAATTTATTCTTGTGTGAGATCTATTGCTGCTGGTAGGGGATATATTGTTGTTGGGGGGGGGGTCTACTGTTGAAGAAGGGGTTTACTGATGCTGCTGCTGGAAGAAATATTGTTTCTGGCAGGGATCTATTGCTGTTGGGTGGGTCTATTGTTGCAAGAGGGGGTCTATTTTGATGGGGGTTCTATCCCAATTGCATAAGTTGTTTTGTGAATTGGGGGGTACCTGGGTATTGGTGGTAATTTGTCATGGGTTATAGCATCTTATTTGGTAATTTGGTTTTCCATACCCCAAAGAAAAGAATAAGCTCCGGTTCCAATTGCCTTTTAAATGTGATGCAGTAAAAGGAATCTGTAATACACAAAGCAGAAAGATGACCAGCAACCTAACAAAGCTGTACAAAGGTTTTTGGGTCCATTGTTCACTATTACACGGGATCTTTAAATAGTTTCCGCACTTTTTTTACTCTGTTTATTAAGAATTTCATAAACAAGTTACATGATTTTCTGCATACTTACCTTGCTTTGTGAGGCAGACAGACGAATCACATGATAATCCCAGACATGACCAATTACCATTCTGCCCACCTTCACCGTTTCCAACAAAAATATAAAAGTGCAGAAACTTTTTGAAGAAACCTCATATATTGATACCACCTAATATTTTTCTTGCAAATTTATTTTTAGTGTATTTTTACTCTTTCCGTTACCGGACAACCTAGTGAACATCCAGTAGATTAGGCAGAGTTATTATTAGATTAAGTAAATGATTAGAATAACAGGGAGAGAGGAGGTGAATTAACCACTTGCCCTCCAGAGGATTTACCCCCCTTCCTGACCAGGCCATTTTTTGCTATACTGCGCTGCATTATTTTAACTGACAATTGTGCGGTCATGCAACCTTGAACCCAAATTAAATTGGGTACACAGCGTCTTTCCCCCAAAAGTTTGAGAACTCAGCAATCACATGACCACTGATTGCTGAGTTCACACCACTGCTGTGAGCAGAGAGGGGGGGTCTGTCAGTCACCATTGTCTGCTTTGCCCCCCTCATGCTTACTGGAACGCTGGGCTGAGGACAGGGAGGGAGCGATTGGCTCAGGTTTTTAGCAGGTCCTATGTGTATATCTTTTCTTACATATACCATCTTATGTTTAGGATTATGATCTTTAATTGGGATCTCCATCTCCCTTTCCTAAGGTTCTTTGGTGGCACATTGGTTCCGCATCTTTTTTGATTTAAGTAAGTTGCTTGGGGGACTTTAACGTTATGCCTTTTATTATCCTGTCTTCCTACTTACTGTATTTTCCAGCATATAAGACGACCCCCTACTTTTCCTGTTAAAATGTAGTGTTTGGGCTATACTCGCCGTATAAGACTACCCCTCTTCCAATGCACACCAGTGGGAGGAATAGTGCCCCATCATTGGTGTCAGTGGGAGGAATAGTGCCCCATCATTGGTATTAGTGGGAGGAATAGTGCCCCATCATTGGTGTCAGATGGACGAATCGTGCCCCATCATTGGTGTCAGTGGGAGGAATAGTGCCCCCCATCATTGGTGTCAGTGGTATCAGGAGGAATAGTGCCCCCATCATTGGGTCAGTGGGAGGAATATTGGTGCATCGTGCCCCATCATTGGTGTCAGTGGGAGGAATCGTGCCCCATCATTGGTATCAGTGGCAGGAATAGTGCCCCATCATTAGTATCAGTGGGGGGAATAGTGCCCCATCATTGGTGTCAGTGGGAGGAATAGTGCCCCATCATTGGTATCAGTGGCAGGAATAGTGCCCCATCATTGGTATCAGTGGGAGGAATCGTGCCCCATCTTTGGTGTCAGTGGGAGAAATCGTGCCCCATCATTGGTGTTAGTGGAAGGAATAGTGTCCCAACATTGGTGTCAGTGGGAGGAATAGTGTCCCAACATTGGTGTCAGTGGGAGGAATAGTATCCCATCATTGGTGTCAGTGGGGGTGGAATGGTGCCCCATCATTGGTGTCAGTGGGGGGGGAGGAATAGTGCCCCATAGTTGGTGTAGGTGGGGGGGAGGAATAGTGCCCCATCATTGGTGTCATTGGAGGTATCAGTGACACCAATGATGGGGCACTATTCCTCCCACTGACACCAATTACACTTGCTGACCCCTGTTCTAGTATGGTGCTGCTGCAGCCAGCATATGTGGTTGCAGCAGCACCTCTGCACGGCACACTTAACGGCCGCTCCTTCACTCGATTTTCACGGGCTGCTCGGCTCCGCCTCCTCACCGGTGATTGGCCACCTGTGTGCCTTTCCTGAGCTACAGTTCTGGTGGCCAATCACTGGTGAGGAGGCAGAGCCGAGCAGCCACGCAAACATCCAGTGGCCGAACTGAATGAAGGAGCAGCCGCGCTTCCTGGACCGGATTGTCGTGGGACCGGAGCCACTGTACTTAGTGTCGCTTCCATTGGAAGGGGGGGGGGCGGCGGCGGAACCGCGCCACCCCCCTATAAAGTGTCAGTATGCCGTATACCGGTGTATAAGACGCCCCGACTTTGAGAAGATTTTCAAGGGGTAAAAAGTCGTCTTATACGCCAGAAAATACAGTATTTTTATTGTATACTGATGGGTGACCTTGGCATGTAATTGTAGCCCTTTAGGAAGAGCTGTTGGTCTTGTCCTCCTGGCCTCTTTGTAGCCCAGGTGCCCGCCCGGGGACTATTTGCTTGCATATACTCATTTAGACAGGCAAGGTGTGTAAACATGTTTGTATGTTCATGTTCATGTAGTTATATATGTGTATGCATATATTCCATGCACAATTATGCCTTATTTTTCTATTTATATAGCAATCTTTGGTAGTTTCTTCATGTGTCCTGAGGAAGCAAATATGTGAAACGCGTTGACTCATGAAGACTAGCTTGCATATTCGTCGCCAACAGAATGAGCTGAATGCTGTACTTTGCATGCATTGCTTTATACATTTGACACGTTTACCGTGGATTGTTTTTAGAATGCATGAACAAGCATGCTTTTATGCTTTTTGGTTGTAAATAAAGTTTATTGATTCATTTTGCCCCGTGGGTGCCTCTAAAGTCCAGCTAGATTTTTCTACATATGTTTTCCTGTTGATAGGGATGTGGAACAGGAGTGATCTATATACTAGTTTGTGAGCTCTAAGTTATCAATCCAACACCTCCCCTTCCCTCCCCCTCTCTGTTGGGGTCACCCAGGGCTCTGTCCTTGGACCCCTTCTCTTCTCCATCTACACCTCCTCCCTTGGCAAACTCATACACTCCCACGGCTTCAATTACCACCTCTACTCAAATCTACCTATCCACCCCTCACCTCACCCCCACATTCTCCGCCCGCATCACTCACCTCCTAAAAGACATCTCTGACTGGATGTCGCTCCATTTCCTCAAGCTCAACCTCTCCAAAACCGAGCTTCTCGTCTTTCCCCCTTTCCCGCCCCCCCCCCCATCCTTTCCATCACTACCAACAACACCACCATCAATCCCGCCCCGCAAGCCAAGGTCCTTGGCGTCATTCTGGACTCAAACCTTTCCTTTCAACCTCATGTCAAATCACTTACAAACACATGCAGGCTTCACCTCCGGAACATCGCCAAGATACGCTCCTTCCTTACCCCAGACACCACTAAACTACTCGTACACTCCCTAATTATCTCACGCCTTGACTACTGCAACTCCCTCCTCACCGGCCTATCCCAGTGCAAACTCTCCCCACTTCAGACCATCCTGAACTCAGCGGCTAGACTCATCCACCTCACCAGCCTCTCCACCTCTGCCACCCCCCTCTGCCTCTCCCTCCACTGGCTCCCCATTGCCCAACGCATTAAATTCAAACTGCTCACTCTGACCTATAAGGCCATTCACAACATTGCCCCTAACTACCTCACCGACCTGATTCCCAGGTACCAGCCTACCTGTACCCTTCGCTCTTCACAGTACCTCCTTCTATCTTGCTCCCTGGTCTCCTCCTCCCATGCACGACTGCAAGACTTCTCCAGGTCCTCCCCCATCCTCTGGAACTCACTACCCCAATCCATCAGACTGTCACCTTCCCTCCTCACCTTCAGGCGCTCCCTGAAAACCCACCTCTTCAGGGAAGCCTACCCCACCCTCACCTAACAGCCGCTGCCCTTCCCTCCTCCTACCACTCCATCCCCCACAGCCATTTCCTCCTGTACCTCTACCCCCTCCCTCCTAGATTGTAAGCTCGAAAGAGTAGGGCCCTCTTACCCCTTGTGTGCTGTATGCTGTTACTGTACTGTTTCATGTATTGTCCCCCCCTCTATTGTACAGCGCTGAGCAAACCCTTTGGCGCTATATAAACTCGATAAAATAAATAAATAAATAACACCTACTCTACATGTCCTTTGGTGTGCCTGTCCTAAGTTTATTTTGTTCTCTGATTAA